TCTTCTCCCCCTGCAGCTTACGGAGCCATTCCAGGCCCCCCTGGGCAGAAAGGAGAGGTGGGCACCCCAGGACCCAAAGGTAAGTGGTGGCAGGGAACTAGCCAGCGGGGTCCTATATAGCCACGCCCTCTTGCTGGGAAGCCGCCCCCTTGCCAGTGCTGTCTAGGGGGTGGGCTGTGTGTGTGTGTGTGTGTGTGTGTGTGTCCCCTCCAGGCCCCAAGCTCCCACTTGACTGAGCATAGCCCTCTCTGTACTCCCAGGTGAAAGGGGCCCCGCAGGACCACCAGGTCGGCCTGGGCCACCCGGCCCTCGAGGGCACAAAGGAGAAAAAGGAGACACAGGTAAGCCTTGGCTGCCAGTTTCTGCAGTGCTGGCAGGCTGATGCTCAGGGTAGTAGGCAATTTGCTCCAGAGCAAGCCTGAAAAATTAAGGGAAATGCCAATTACTAAGGCAGATGCTGCCACTGACATAATTTGCATAACAATGAAACGACCAGCTAGGGAAAGAGGAAAGAGACTGCCAATGGGTGCAGGAAAAGAGAACCACTCGGTGATGAAATAGGGTAAACAATTTAAATAAATTGATAGTCTTACAAAAGAGTTCATCTTTCAAGCCCGTTTTGCAGTTGTCACCGTTGCTATATAATTGCCCAAGCTGAAGGCCACAGGCCACAAGATATTTAACTTCCTCCTCCTCTGCTAACTTCCAGGTGACCAAATCTATGCGGGGCGGAGAAAGAGAAGCATCGCTGTCAAGCCGTGAGCTTGGAGGGACAACCTGGCTGTTCTTGCAATGGCTTATGGTGCTCATGTCAAAATCTCTCCAGAGGGCGGAAACTGGAGGCTCACTTCCTCCTGACACAGCACAACCAAACAGTTAAATAGAACGCCTGTTTTAGTCTGGAACAACCTCTCTATAGGTGTTATCATCCAGTCGAAGCCACACAACCTGAACCACCGCACAGGGTGACATTACGGCAGCCGTGGCTGTGGAACAGGACCGGCCGCTCGGCTGGCTCGCCCTGAGCCCCTTGGCTTTTTTAGCTCTCAGTTCTGGCTGCAACCCAGGACAGCCCGTTATGCAGAACCTGGCTTAGGAATCCTTGAGCTTTGCCTAAAAATGAGCCAGAGAAGGGAAGACGGGGCTGGGGTGTGTTCTGGTCATCACTGCAAGGATGTGCTGTCTGCTCCTTCCTCCCTGTTGGTTCTGCATTCTCTAGTCGTAGGACTGGGCTAAGAAGCAACTCTTGCAACTGAAAAAATTAAGAAATTCACTTCCCCTGAAGGTGGTGACAGGGTTTCTAATAGTCATTTCTCACCACGTATCCTCGTCCCACTTGCTTAGTAAGTCTGTCTGATCGTAGCTAGGGTCTGTTTCTCCGGGGCATGCTGGGATTTAGAGAGGTGTCCTACTGAACTAGACCACAGCAAGGGGGAGGAGAAGGGCAGTGGGGAAGGAGGGAAAATAGAAAACTTGATGCTGGGAAATGGCACGGGGGACTGGGCGCAGTTGGTTTTTAAGCATTTTTCAGTATCTAAAACATGTATGTTAGATGAAGTCATTTCAGTTGCAAAATTTAGAATTAAAGTTTTTTCGTAATATCATGTGTAGTGTGCTCCATCTAACCAAAGTGAGAGAAAGAATGAAAAAAAGGGAGGAACGGGGAGGGAGACAAAGTAGGAAAGAGAAATGGGGGATGCAGAGGGAAATAATAGGACAGAAGGAAAGACAAGAAGGAAACAAGGGAATGAAAAAAATGAAAAGGAAAGAGAAAAAGAGGAACAGAGACACAGAGGTGGGAAAAGACAGGGAGAGGGAGACAGACAAGGAGAGAATGAAAAATGGAGACAAAGAAGGAGTAAGAATGAAAAAGAGGAAAAGGGCAAAAACGGGAAAGATGATAAAGGGCGGGGGGAAAGGTTGGGGTCAGCCATATACTCTGAACTCTTGACACTACGACCACCACCAGACAGACTTCGGCCACCATTAAGTTCTGTGGTGAGGACGCAGCATTTTCCCAAGTACCCCTACTCTCACCTCCACCGCCCACACCACCCATTAGCACAGCACCTTGGTGCCGGCCAGTAGAGTAAGTGGAGGGGAGTACTGTGGGGTACTGGCCCAGAAGGGACAAACATTTGGAACCCAAAGAGGATCTCCTCTCAAGTTAGGAGTTGAATCTACAGTCTACCTTCTACAAGTCTGGAGAGTTTACTTTCCAGGGGGTCTCTCCCGAGTACCTCACATATGATCCCGGGAAAAAACATACCAGTTAGTGTGCATTGAACTGCTAGCAGCAACACCCAGTGAGGCACCAAACATTCCGTGTGGTCTGCTGGCCTCCTGTTTCACAACCTGACAACTACCTGCTATGACTCATCATGGGAATTCTGAAAAAGGAGTTCATAAGGCCTTCAGAATTTCAAACTTTTCACTACGTAATGAAAACTTCTTGGGTAAAATGAGTGCATCACACCTTTTAAATTGTTTAACCTAAAAGCTGAAGTTATTTTTGTAATAGTAGCTTTAGGGGCTCAAGTATTAGATCCCCTTTAATGGTTCTTACCTTTATTCATCAGACTTGATCCGAGGGTTCCTTAGTTACTACATTTACCTTTCCAAGCTATCCGGAGTCTTCAGAGTCCTATGCGCAACTGAATTAGGATAAAAGTCCAAACCTGCTACCTTCTCTGGACAGAATCAGAAAGGGGATGGGCAGACATGAGACATATCCTCAGCTGGATGGCAATGGATCTGAGCCTCTTGTTTCACTTAAAAAAAAAAAAAGTCAAGAATGAGCTTGATAGTATGTGATGTTCCTGGGTTAGAAAAGGATACACTATGCCTCCCTCCAGCCAAGCTGAACACTTGCCAAATGACGGTGCCTGGTGTCTACTGAATCTTTCATGAACATATCAATGATGAAAAGAGGTTATTTTTAGCAGAAGTGAGGTCATACGGTTAAGTGAAATGTTTGGTGAGAAAAATAATCCATCCCAAGGGAAGAAAAATTGAAAGTATGTCTATTTTTAATATATATTACATATATAATACATATATGTAATATATATATATTTTAATATAAAATTTTAAGCACCACCCAAAGGAGGGATTTGTATGCTGAAAGACACCGCCCTCCGAGTTACCAGTAAAAACTACATTCTTGTGTGTGGTGACGAGTCAGGTAGGAACACAGGCAAGTCGGGAAGGGTCCGAAGGCCTGGAGGACTGTGAGGGTTAAAAATGAAACTAGGACCAAAAAAATGCTGCAAAATGTTCTCATGAAGGACAACCCAGTAACAAAGATTCTTAATAAAAGACTGCTTCCCAGAATAGATTAAGAAATAACTTTATTTTTCATTTGTCAATCCCATGATTGAAAAGACATGTTGCTCCCAAATAGACAAGAGGCATAATCAGAAACAAAATTCTTCCTGAAAATTTAGCTCATGAAGTTATTACATTGCAAAAATCAGCAAAGAATCACCAAAAGCTGCAGCCAACATTTAAAACTGGTGTAACATTCTACTCAAGCTTAGCAGAAATTTTAAAGCCATATCAAAACCATGTCAGCCACAGACTAGCAACAATGGAGGCATTAACTGTTGTGCCTTCAAGAAAAGCATTTAAAATATCCCATTTCCTATAAAAGATCATCTCCCCAAAAAGAGTGATTTATTTCATCGGCAGCCTCTCAGAACTGGTAAGTAACTCTCCTCCTCCACCCCAGTTCTAGGCTTTCCTTTAATCAACAATATCTAGGACTCATCTTGGACAGAATTTGGCTTCTCAGAAGAGTCTTTGTCATGTAAGCACAGTGTGGGAGAAGTGTGTAGTTACCAGGGAACTAACAGTATAAAAGACAGTTACTTCTGAACTCGCTGATGCTCAAGAAATCAGAGACCCTCCATTAAAGAGGGTCTCATATGCCTGAGAGCTTTGTGCTTGAGGAAACACTACTTAGAGGTAGCTCTGGTTCTGGTTTATATTTAATTACAATTTGCTGTATCCTGTCACAGGAAAGTTCTAATATTTTCAACAAAGTATAAGCACTCTCAATTTCCTCTTCATCCCCACCCCCCATAGCTTCCCCATTGAAAAGGGTAGGAAAAAGCTTAATTGTGACTCCACAAAGAATAGCAGCTAATTCAGCAATTCACACCCAACTACGACTGAAGGACAAGGAAAGGCAACCTGGTGCAACCAGCTCTGCGGGCTAGGCCTGCAGAAGTGCAGTGTGCGGTGTCTTCACCGCATGCAGGGAGAACAGGGAGGCTGTCGTCAGGGCGCACAGGGAGAATTTCTTTTATGCGTTTCATAGCACATTCTGCCACAGCAACAAAACCACCACATCAGCAATGGATCTGATTGTACTCTTTCAAAGAAGTCTGTGCCCCTCCCCAACTCCCCACCTACACTTCACGCAAGAACAATTAGAAAAAAAAAAAACAAACAAACAAATGATCACTATTATCTATTTGAATATAGGGCCCAAAAGACGTGAGCACGGATGGGTAAAAACAGCATATTCTATAACAAAACACTTTTTGAAAAGATTTATGTAACTTTGAGCATTAAAATGAATGTTTCACCTCTACACATGTATCATTTTGCAGTCCTGCCCCCACATGAATATGGTCATATTTGAAAGAGAACTCCAGCATGAACACTGAATCCAAAAGGCAGTTTTAAGGGTTTTCCAAGATTTGCTAATAAACTTACCAGAGTGTCAACCATTCTACTCTGAGCCTCTTTTCTTTATTCAATACTCTCATGTCAAGTTGAAAGGAATAAAAAGAATCAAATATTCAGACCAAATTAATTATGTGCCACAAGCTATTTAAGACACAGGATTATCCTTTAAAAGATACTGAAAAAGTGTACACTACCTGAAATATTAATTTTTTATAAAGCCAATGAACTGAAAATTTCAAAGGAGAGATTGGTATGAGAACTTTCCTCCTCTCTCCCTCTGTAAATAAATCATTAAATACATTGGGTAACATTATACTGTCATTTTTATAACAATATAAACAATTTCCATCATCATCCTGAATATTACTTTATAAAGATATATACTTTAAAAGGCTTTCAAAACATTTCAACCCAGCATTTGAGAATAAAGCATTAAAAGAGTTTTGTATACAGTAACACATTCAATGTGATAAGTGTATGAATTTACAACCATATATTTTATATATATATATATATGTATATGTATATATATGTATATAAAAAACAAACTTGGCCAGAAGTTAAGGCTACCTACAGAGTTGTCCAAGAAATTATGCTTGTCAAATCAATTACAAAATGAAAATCACATGCATTTTCAAATCATCTAAATCACTGACAAAATAAGGTTCGCATTCAAAATTTTCAAATTAACTTCAAGAAAGTACTACAGATATTTACATTTTCTTAATATGAATCAGTGTTCCCACAAAATTACACAAGTTTTTCACCAGCCTCAAATGTCAAATAACTAAAAACTGAAACGTCTACAATTTGGTATTTAGTACTCTTAAAAGAGAATAGGTTGAAAATGGCAAACAGCAAAGCATCATTTACAAATGGGCCATCTACTCAGCCACCAGAGTACATTACATAATACTATTTGACCTGACTAGAACTTGGAATTCCGAGTCACAAGAGGGACCAAGAGTGAACATTTCATTAATAATTACACGTATCAGCAACCACATGATAAAGGTTTCAGGCTTTTCCCACTCAAAGTAAATAATTTAAACATGGGACTAAATAAAACCAAAATACAAATGACTTTCAACAACAACAAAGTCATTTCTGACATTGCCTAAATATTTTATTTGAATGCTTTTTTAAAAAGTATTCTGAACAAATGCCTCTTTTAAGATTAATGTCAGAAAATACATTTATAAGTATAACAGAGCCTGCAGGCCTCAGGCAGAGTTTTCAATGAACAAAATGTGCTAGGATGGGAGAGGTCACTTAACCAGATCACGGATTATTTTAGGCAATAAGCTAGGACCCTAAGTCTGTACTTCTTTTAGCTTGGTGAGTGTTATATTTCCAATTTCAATATCTAAAAACTACCATTTTTTAAATCTTTCCAACTTTGTACAACATATATTTTAGGATGAAAATTTCTATCAAATGGTAATAGAAGCAAGATTTAAAACACAATAATGCTTAATGCTAAGGACGTTTGTCCCTGTTGAATCAAAAAAGGAAATCCTACTTTAGACTCAATTGAAATTTAGTGTTTTAGGCACTATTTTAATAAAATTAGCACCCTTAATTATTAGCTCATGACTAAACAGGTAATTAGACAAATTATTTCAATAATGTTTCTTTTTCAAAAGTCTGTTGCTATTTAAAGACAAAATAGATTTATTTATTCAATCAATATGGTATTTTGAGCAACTCATAGCTTTGTCTTGAGAGCTGATTCACCAAAGGGAAATTATTCCAACTCTCTACAGCAGAGTTGCAGCTATAGAATTTAGGCATCATTGAGAAGTTAGGCCAGGTAAAAAGATATTCACTAATACTCAATGGCCTAACAGCTTTTAAAAAAAAAAAATAATAACTTCAAACATCATACTAACAGTTTTTCAGGTAACAGTATCTAAAGAACACAATTTTTAAGATTAATATACAAAATCACCTTAGGGAATTACTGCAAGATGCCACTTTGCCAACATGGCCCAGCATCTGTCTTGGTTCCTTTCCCTTCATCTTTGCTAAACAAACAAACAAAATAAACAAACAAAACACCTAGAAGGTGAGGCAGGTGATTGTCTTCATAAGCTCTCTGATATAGATTGTGGCAGAAGATGAAGAGAACAGAATGACATATTTAAAAAGCCAAACCCAATCACAGAAATGTTTCCTATTGTCATGACCCAGTGGAATGCAAGCTAGGAATAGGGTAGAACTTGGAAATCCGGCTCTGTGTTGATGGGTTAAGGCATTCAGACTCCCCAGTCATTTTAAAGAACACCTCCTGTTCCTGCAGTTTCCTGGCAAACTCTTCTTCCAGTGTCTTAAAAAGGAAGGGAAAAAGAAATTATGTGCTAGTATTACAAACAGAATTTACTGACAGCCAAGAATAAAACTATTTGCTCAAAATGCTCTCTCTGTATGTTATCCTAAGGAAGACCAGAGTGCTACAGTTAGATTAGGCTGCGCACAGCCCTAGATTGAAGGCTTTGGCTCAGCCATACGAATGTATAACTTGGGTCAATGACTTAACTTCTATTACAGAATCATCTCATTCTTCTGTTGTAAAATAGGTAGAGTATCACCTACCTCACTGGGTTGCTATGTGAAGATTAAATCATGATGTACTAAACACCTACCAGGCACTCAATAGATGGCACCTATTATTAACTACTACCCTTCCCTCCCACATGGCACTTTCCATTTTCTGTTTTTTATTTTCATTTTTGATGTGGTCTTTTCTTCCACACTGAACTATAAGCCATTTGAAGGTAAGCCCTAAACCAGATTCAGCTTTACATCCCCACAATACATATGGTATATAGTAAGTGCTGTAGTCAGGGTTCGATGAGTATTGCCATTGCTATTACTGTTTCTTGTTTTGTTATTATTGGTTCATGCTCTAAGCACCCATTTCCCACCTGGATGTTCCATTCCTTATTTCATTCGGGCCTCTGTTCCAACGTCATCTCACCGAAGGTTCCTTTTTCTGATGATTTTATATATATATAATAGCTCCCACCTCAGACATTCCCTATCCCATCACCTTTGTTTTCCTTCATAACATTCTTCACCAGCAGACACAGTTGTTTATTGTCTGTCTTTCCTCACAAGAATGTATGCTCCTTGAAATCAGGTGCGTTATCTCTCAGTTCACTGGTATATGTCAGCTTCTAGAATAGTTCCTTGGCCTCAACACTGTGCTCCTGGTCTCCTGTCCTTACCTCCCTCACAGCAGTGTTCCTATTGAACTGTAATTGCTTGTCACTACATTCTGAACCTTTGGGGGAGAGGGACTTTGTCTCTTCATCTCTTATTTCCTGTCTCTGACACTGTACCTGACACATACTAAACAGCCAACAACTGGGTGGATAAATGGATCAACACAAACATATTTTATCTAAAGCTTTTAAAATTACCTTTTTTCTGGGTCTCAATTTCTCTCTCCATTCCTTTAATTCTTGGCTGTGTTCCTCATCTAACTCCTTCAGTTTCTGAGTCTCATGCTCAACCAACAGGTGGCATTTTTCATTCTGAAAATAAAATTTGGATTAAAAATTTTCAGATCAACTAAGCAATTTTTCACAATGTAATTATCTTCAAATAATAAAGCATTCATTAAACATCAAACTATTTTTTTTTTTTTTTAGATTTTATTTATTTTTCGACAGAGAGAGATAGCGAGAGAGGGAACACAAGCAGGGAGAGTGGGAGAGGGAGAAGCAGGCTTCCCGCAGAGCAGGGAGCCGGATGTGGGACTCGATCCCAGGACCCTGGGATCATGACCTGAGCCGAAGGCAGACGTTTAACGACTATGCCACCCAGGCGCCCCTAAACATCAAACTATTACTGAGGTTCAGGCTCTCCTCTGAAAACCAAGGGCTCAAATGAGTTATAGCTTCATTTCTGCAGGTTTAGAAGCTAGATCTGTTACCATATTTAGAATTAGTTTGATCCTGTTTTTCCTTTCTAAGAAGGTTTGCTCATAAAATTGACACTTCAAAGGGCACCTTATATGGATTTTACCCACTGGTACTAGAATGTGGGATTAGGAACTATTCTACTCTAGTAAATTAAGCAAATATGTAGAGTATCCATAATGTTTACACTATCCATAGTAATGGATAATAATGTTTACACTATTCTGAAATCTTAAACATTTTACGCTGTATAATAGATGGGCTGCATACTCTAGGTAAGGCCCCAAAGCAGTCCCCCTAAAGTAACCTTTAAATTTCTTGGGAGAAAAATTCTCATATATTTATCACTTTTTTCAAACACCTAGAAGAAAATGAACTATTTCTTCCTAAATAAAATTTTAAATTAAGAATCTGATAACAAAACCATCTACCTCATTTTGAAAACTTTGTTCATTTTCTTTGCGAAATAGACTAAAAATACTCAATACTGCTTTTGAAACACTCAACTTCTTAGGCTATAATTTAGCCTCATGTTTATATTAACTGTGGTTATATAAAAGCTACATGAGTGCCTATGATACTAACCTGATCTTTATTTGGGTCTATACAGAAAACAAAACCTCTCAATCCCAGCATTTTCATGAGTAAAGTACAGTTTATTTTGGTTAGCTACTGTTCTCTCCAAACCAGCCACTCGTGCTGCCCCGTTGCCACCAGCTCAGTTTTCATGATCCTGTATCTGACCTGCAGCTGATGCAACTCGCGGACGTTGGCTTCACATTGCAACTGAAGATCCCGCATTTGATTTTCGTGTTTCTGATGCTGAGCCATTCTCTCATTTTTCTGCCTCTTTTCTTCTTGAGCAGCAAACTATAAATAAAAGAAAATATGGTTAACAAGCAATGTAATTTCTGCATCTTCCAAAGGAGTAATTAAGGAATTTAGCAAGACTTAAAGTACAATAAAAAACTGAAGTTGCAAGTAATAATATACTGTGACTTGAGCTGGAATCTACATTATGGCTTTGGTGGGGAGAGAGGGTGCTTCTGATTAAAACCTTATTCCTCCCATCTGCTTAGTGACCTCAGTTCATTTGTGTGTGGGACCTAAGACTATAGAAGCAAAGTGAAGCCCTATGTTTTTCAAAAGTTGTCCAAGTCACCTAATTCCCAGGACTGGTCTTAGGACCAGTCTAGCTCAAGATCTTGTGTAGGGCATGGGGCAGAGGGCTTTGCCCTCTGTGGCCACCAAGTTGGTATATGCCACATATCTAGCCCCAGCCCATAAAGCCAAAGAGAACATCAACAAGCCCAAGGTGGCTTGAAATGTTTACAACATAATTATGTGACACTTCTAAAGGTCATTCACATTTTTTAAATCTAAAAAAGAAGAGACTAACTGGCTTATTTACCTGTTTAATTTTGTCACGGTCCTGATCTGGTGTGGCCGTTGAGTTAATTCTCAAGCTTTTCTTAAACATGGCCATTCGAGTCTTGGCTTCACTGCGCTGAATCTTAGGCAGTCTTGCTCTTTCTTGAGTTTGTCTGTTTTTTAATTCCTCAATAAGTCGTTGATTGTAACGCTGCATTTGTTCTGTTTCCTAAGAAAGTATCAAACAGAGTCCAGGGATGTAAATATAATTTATTTTATTTTTATTATTATTATTATTTTTTTTTTTTTAAAGATTTTATTTATTTGAGAGATTGAGAATGAGAGACAGAGAGCATGAGAGGGAGGAGGGTCAGATGGAGAAGCAGACTGCCTGCTGAGCAGGGAGCCCGATGTGGGACTAGATCCCAGGACTCTGGGATCATGACTTGAGCCGAAGGCAGTCGCTTAACCAACTGAGCCACCCAGGCACCCCGATGTAGATATAATTTAATACTCAGTACTCACATATATGCGCAAACATGTCATTTTGTTGTTGTTTCTCAAAATTGCTCTTTCCCTTGTTGCATTATCAACCAGCAAACTTTTACTCAAAATATAATTTATAATAAAAATAAAGCTTTTAGTAATAAGAATCTTTTTTTTTTTTTAAGATTTATCTATCTATATTAGAGAAAGAGAGCACAAGTGGGAGGGGCAGAGGGAGAGGGAGAGAGAATCTCAAGCAGACTCCACGGTGAGTGCAGGAGCCTGACATGGAGCTTGATCCCACAACACCGAGATCACGACCCACAGACCTGAGATCACGATCGGAAACCCAACCGACTGTGCCACCCAAGTGCCCATAATGAGTCTTATATTAAAATTCTTTTACTAAGTCAGGGAGTCCACATTTTTAAGATATTTGAACCATAAATGGAGCCACAATAGCTACCTTTGAGAGACAAGATGAAAATTATAACGTAGAAGAGAACTTAAAGCACTGTACTAGTCACCTTCCATGAAATTCATAGAAAGAAGTTTGCAGTCATGATAAGATACAATTAATTACTCCAAACTTCACCAAATAAATTTTAGGATTAAAAAAAAGAAAATATAAAATTCATTCTCTAAGAAATAGAAGTTTCAGAAATAACTCTATAAATTTGAAATGAACAAAAAGTAAACCAATCTTCCTTTCATTAACCTTCTCATGACGCTTAAGTAGCTGATGTCTTTGCATGAAATACTGATCTTTAAGTTGCTGTTTTAGCAGCTGGTGTTTTTCTTGTAAGTGTCGTTCTTCAAGCTCCCAAATTGCAGCTTCTCGAGCTAGAAGAAGAAAGCAATTTTCAAAACGTCACTTTGTTCTTTTTACACATGTACTTTGGTCTTCATTTTAATATTTACATTAAAAGTGTTCTATATACACTAACTTATACACACAATGACATTCTTTTGGTTTTTTTTAAGATTTTTATTTATATATTTATTTGACAGAGACACAGCGAGAGAGGGAACACAAGCAGGGGGAGTGGGAGAGGGAGAAGCAGGCTTCCCCCAGAGCAGGGAGCCCGATGTGGGGCTCGATCCCAGGACCCTGGGATCATGACATGAGCTGAAGGCAGACGCTTAACCGTCTGAGCCACCCAGGTGCCCCCACACAATGACATTCTGAACTATAAATGAAATATTGCCAGTGCACAGGTAATATTCATCACCACTTACCATTCTGTTCTAATGTCCTATAAACAGAGAGTGTCCCACCCCCAACACCAAAATTCCTTTTAATTATCTTAATGATAAAGAAAAAAATCTTAACTTTTTATTAAGGGAAATAAGTGCTTAAAATCCCATTCCACTGTGTAGCCATTAAGTATACCAACAATTATAAGGCATAATAAGTATACCAAAACTATTCAGGTAAAGTTCTAGCATCATCTGAACAAAAAGATGTTTTAAGAATGATATGCTTATTGTTTACTTTTCCTGTCATAAAGGCATTTATTCGATGTCTTACAGTATTTAACTTTATAAAGAATTTAAAAATTTTAAATTCTTAAAATTTAACATAGTTTTTCCTCTTATTAACCTCAACTTTATCTTTCTATCACTCTAGCAAAGGAGAGCATTCAAATAATTTCCAATTATTTGATATTACGGATATCAGACATATCCCTATGTCTCAGCCAATGTTCTTCAGGTATCATTTTATATACACACATATGCTCGTAATTTCATATACCTCTCATGAGTTGCTGTTTGTTATTCAGGCACTCTCTTTCAATATTGGCTAGCTCTGCCTTCTGCTGTTGGATGATCTTTTTCAGAGAGCCATCTAATTCTTGTTGTTGCTTCTGAACAAATTCCTGTTCCTATTAGACACAGTTAACCATCAGTTAATAAGCATCTACTGAGTGAAACATCCATTTATCTATATGACTATATTAGTGGTTAACAAGATTTCTAAGCCAAGTTTCTAAAAAAAAAAAAATCACCAATTATATAGCATATATAATATAAATGTATTAGTAACTCAATTCAAGCCCAGAAAAAAAAGTACTAGAATACATAATATTCTAAACTATTAAAAATAACACACAGAGGTAACCCTCGCAGGTCCCCTCCCACTTCAGGAGCTGTGTACTATCACTCAGTAAACCTTACTAAGTTCTCAATAAACTTTGCTTTGCTGCCCACCAGAGGAAAAAAAAAATACACACAAAAGACTACAATTCACTAATTAAAATGCCCTATTACACGAACAGCTTTAGGAAAATAACAAATTTAGAGCTTCAAAAACTGACAATTCATTACACTGTGGTGTGGATAAAACAAGAACAAAAAATGCCTTTTAGAAAAAAGAGAATAAAGAGCAAATAAGTAAAACACATATCAGAATTTTAAATATCTCTATTTTTCCAAGAAATAAAGAGTCAGGAAGAAATACCATGGCTACAGTAACAGAGAAAGATAGTTTCTATATCTATAGTATTTGCCTAAAAATAACAATAGTTTGTAGACAATGAGAAATAGTACATTGCTAGAGAAATGTGAACTAAGAAAAGTGAGTTACGTTTTATAAGTATATATATAAAATTCCTTATGATCAGAGAATTCTACCAACATGTTTGGGATTCACTCGTTCATTCAACAAATACTTATTGAATACATACTATTTGCCCAAGTGCCAAATTTATGCTTTAAAAAAAAAAATCCTTCAGTAACTGTGTAAGAAAAGGAAATGTTAAAGTGACTTATGGTCTTTGTGCTAGATCACACATTTACAGAAGGAAGAAATGCTATCCAAATTGAAGAAATATGTTGAAATAATATGGAAAAATAAGTTTTGCCAGTAAACATTTGGCTCTCCATCCCTCTTGGCAGTTAGAGCAGTCTGTGATTAGCAAAAGGGATATTCTGATCAATTTGAGTGTGGATTTAGAAATTTAGGATTGAAGCAGCACTCCACCTATAACCCCTCCTCTTGTACATCCTAGAGAAGATAAAAGCCCAAGATCCATTTGGATCTATTCTTTATGCCTTGGACAGAGTCTGACAGGATCTGGATCACTACCAGCCTGATCTTCAATACATGAAGAGTGAGTCTAGCAGTGTTCCTCAAGGTGCTTGCCTTACTACTATGACTCTGGAGGCGAGTATCACGTTTTACCATTCATGATGGCCTGTTAAAGTAATCCGGAGCTATAAATACTACTGTCTCATCTGTGTCAAAGTTTGTACTTTAGCATAAATACAAATATACATTAACAGAAAAACTAATGAATTGCCTCCATAAAATACAACTGTGAATTGACTACAGTCACCTACATAACTTTATCACAGAAAAAAAACCCCACAATGAATATTTAATTTCAACTATTTAGAATAAGGCCTTTTGAGTTTTAAAGAGATGCAAAATCTCCATGCCTATCTTTTAAGCAACTATAACAAAGAAAGTTGCTTAAGCTTTATATTTTCCTACAGTAAATATCACCTATAATAAAAATTACATTGTTTCTCTAATTTCATTGTAAAATTTCTATATGCAAACTTGTATAATAAACTTAATATAATCTGCAGCTATATCAAAGGGTTTTCTTTTGTTCAACATTTGTTCCATTAATTTGCATAAAGGACTTTTAAAAATTATCTGTGTAGAAACAATGGGCCCAATATTTAATTACTCTAAATATAAATATTACATTTAGACTCAAATCAAATGCAAAAGTGTAAGATGGGGGTGAATAAATATTTATGTGAAAATTAAAAAGGGCAAATATAAGCCAGTGCCACTAAAAAAGTGAATGCAATTTCTTGTCAATTCAATTCTTGGTTATATTACTATAATATATGTATGTCCAGATTAAGCAAGATAAGAGCTGGGTTCAAAGAAAACCTTTACTAAGTACTTAGTAAATGTTGGACACTGTACTAGTTATGAGGTTACTAAAATTAAAAAAAGACAGTATTGCCTTTAAGGAGCTTCTAGTGGTTCCAAATTGGTTTTGTCTGTCCATATAGAGAGCAGTGGGCCCCTTCCCTTAGTATCACATTTTCAAAAGTTCAAAAGTAAACCACAGAAAACCAAAAGCTGGATTACAGGGTCTAGAAACCATGCTACACAATGAGCGACGGAAAGAACCACAGAAGTATGCAGCAGCTGATATATACGGGGAAAAGAAGACCTGAGACTATTATATAGAAGGAGGCAGAATTAGCATGTGCTGGTCCAGAAAGTAAAATAAGGTTTAATAGGTAAGAGTCAAGGTAGGCTTCTGTATGCAAGTGCTTCCAACAGTGAGCGTTAACAAAGATAGCAGTTGTCTTACAGAGTCACAGACTTAAATAATTAAGCAGAGTCTGGATAATTATGTAGTCAAAAATACTGTGCAAATAATTTTCTTTCTCTTTCCTTCCTTCCTTCACTTACTCATTTAAGTAATCTCTACACCTAATATGGCTCAAATTCACGACCCCAAGATCAAGAGTTGCACACTCTTCCAACTGAGCCAGCCAGGCACCTCAAATAATTTTATTAAAGCTAAAATTTACCTGAAAGGTCCAGGTCCCTCACATACTAATTCATATATTTTATTACTCAAAAGAAATGAAATTTTAATATTATTGAGCTTTCATTAAATTTCCTAAATTTCATTAAGTTTCCTAACAAAAGCCAAGTATAATATATTCACATTGGAATTTTTCATTAGAAATTACTCTTAGGATCTAAAAGGAAAGTGATCTTACATTCCAAAAAGATTGAACAAATTACATTTACCCTAAAAAAAAAAAAAGATGTAGTTGATCACCAAAAGTAACAAATAATTTTAAATGAACACATAAACTATAAAATGAGCACGCTTTCAAAGTACAAGTTTAAATGCTGATAAGAAATTTTATCATATTAATCAGATAACTATAAACATAAAAATACAACTTTGGGTTCTAGAAAACTATAGGAAAGGTTTTTGATATACTGGGCTATTTGTACAAAATTTGATTCTAACTCAAAAGAAAAGCTAAAAATGGTAATGATCAGAAAAGTGATAATTCATAATTTCTCCCTCTCGTAAAAAAAAATTAATGTTTTGCCTACTCTTTAGAAAACTATAGAGCCCAACAGCTGCCAATAATAAAAAAAAAAGTAAGTCTAATTTCAGGAGAGGGAAAGGGAGGGGTTGAAATCAAGCTGTATTCTATCTACTCCAGTTGTGTATATCAAACATCACAAACAAAAATTACAGTTAAATAAGCTAGTCACTTCCCTATAGAAACTGTGAGAAAGAATACAGCCTGGAATTCCAGACTTAATTTAAAACTACAGAAAGGAGAAGAGCAACTCACTATTCATTATGGACAATTTGAATAGTGAAAACTAGAGTTAAATGGAACTACAATCACTACTTTTAATATGGCTTTTCTGACCATATCCATAATTAAAACATATATGTAAAACATAAATGCAATCAAAATGTCACTTCACACAAAGATAAAAATCTAATCACAGCATTCAATTTCTCACATGTGCAAAGCTTATAAAATACTACTGGGAAGGTTTTTCTTGAAAAATGAAAATCTCAAAATTTGTGGTGAGGGTAGACAGAAAAAAGAACACTATTATAAATGTTCTAACTCCAGCTCTACCATTAATGTCTTTTTTGACTTTAAGTAGACCACTTAGTCTTCTGTGCCTTGATTTCCTTACCTGTAAAATGGATACACTCCATCCCTGTATTAGGGTGGTGGCAGTGCGAATCAAATGTGAAAACTCTTTGAAGAATACTATACTATAAAAAGTTCGTTTCAGGTTATTACTATATTGTCATTACTGACATTATCATCTATCAATCTTCTAGATTTTAACAAATGAAGCGAACAATGAAAAGGCACATGTGAGCTGAAGAAAAAGCAGATAAAACAAGAGAAGGCATCCTCCCACAGACACGTGGGACTTACGTCCTGCAACTGGGCCTTGAAGACTGCACAAGATGACAACTGAAAAGACTGAATCATGACCTGAGCAACACCCTGTGGATTAGAATACAATGCACCTCCCAGGTGAGAATATAGCTGATGACTTTTTATAAATAGAAAGAATAATTATACAAATGTTGAGTTTCAGGAGGTGTAGAACAAGTTACTTAACAGAAAGGTCTCTTTCTCATCTGTAAAAGAAAGGTTTTGAATTAGATCAGTGGTTTTTGAACTCTAGTTTGTATTGTTGTTTTTTAAACCAGTCAAATCCTCTTTTAAAAAATGTACCATAAAATTTATGAAACAGATGAAATGTCGTGCTGTGTGACATGAAGTGGAAGCAGGGCCCTCAAGCCCTACAGTCCTCTCTTTTTGAAGGATTCTCGAGGTCCTTCTTCCAAACTCAAGAGCTCCTGGGAGTACAGTTTAAAAACCACTGAACTAGTTGATCAAATACATTCTCGCCCCATGACTATATAACTATTATTCATAAATTCTCAAAAAGTTAAAAAGAGACTCTGCAAAGTTACTGTTTTAGCACCTTCACGAAAAGCAGTAGCAAAAGAGAAATACTTTTTAATTTGTTAGATTACTAAATTCTTCATTAAATTTACAAAAAGAAATTTACTATTGCTTTCAGCTTTAGTTGAAAATATAGGGAGTCCCCAAAATTTTATGAAAAGTCACCAACAAAGGTTTTTTTTTTGAAGATTTTTATTTATTTTTTGAAACAGAGAGAGAGACACCGTGAGAGAGGGAACACAAGCAGGGGGAGTGGGAGAGGGAGAAGCAGGCCTCCCGCTGAGCAGGGAGCCCGACGCGGGGCTCGATCCCAAGACCCGGGGATTGTGACCTGAGCCGAAGGCAGACGCTTAACCAACTGAGCCACCCAGGTGTCCCATCAACAAAGTTTTATTAAAGCATAGGATCACCTAACTCCTTCAACACTAAATTCTCAATTTCAACTCTAGCATCTGAAACATTACCTTTTGGAATTTAAAAAGTCTGTATTTCTATAGGAGGAAAACTCATATTGTTCTTGTTTGAAATCCAAATTATCCAAAATTAGATTTGTGGCAAGTAAGGACTTCCTCTTCAACTACTCACAACATGACCAACAACCACTGGACTAAGCTGACAGGCGTTTAAATTAGACACAGAAATAACAGTTTAGACATGAGAGGCAGTACGGTGTGGTGGTTCATGTGTGCTCTCATTTCCTCCCCTGAAGAACAGAAGTAGTAAAAGTAACTACCCTCATATGTTGTGAAGCTAAATGAGTTCATGCAGGTGAAGTACTTAGAATAGTGCTTGACACATGGTAAATCCTGTTTGCTATTATCACTTTATTTTTTAAAAAGATTTTATTTGACAGACAGAGAGAGAGAGAGAGCGTGCAGGAGAGGGAAAAGCAGACCTCCCCCTGAGCAGAGAACCCAACACAGGGCTTAATCCTAGGACCCTGGGATCATGACCTGAGCCGAAGGCAGACGCTTAACCAACTGAGCCACCCAGGCACCACTTACTTTAGTAATCTCCAAACTAGGCCAAGACAAAATTTTTCACTGGCTCAAACCAAAAAAAAAAAAAAACCCAATTTATTAAAATAAGCTAGTTTTGTTAAAATTTTAAATTCCAAAATATTTTCCTTATTTTTCATGGTATTAAAATATTCTCTCCTTTAAAATGATGGTGACAAGTAAACAGCACTTTAAAATATCCTTCTAAAAATAAAATATCCTTCTGGACAAAAAGAAAAAATTTTTAAAATGTTATTCCATTTGTCATGGTCCCCAGTGGTTTTTGTTTCTTCTATCTTTTTTCACGGGTCTGTAAAAGTTTGGGAACCACTTTTTAATCACATAAAACCACATTAAAATGATAATGGAAAACAGTCATTAACATATAATCCATGTCTCTTCTTCCTTTGACATATGTAACTACAAATTGTGTTCACTTCTCTTTGCTTCCAAACTGAGTGCAAACTTAAAAGAAAAATGACTCCTAGTATAAATGACCTTGTAGAGTCATATCAGATAATTCTAGAAAAATCTGCTTAAAATACTATCTTGTCTAGTTTTATAAAGAATTCACCCAGCTTAATAGGCCCAGCCTTATCATAACCTAGAATCAAGTTTATACAGGCAGTATTTTTTAACTGCTGGATTCTGAATCAAAAAGAAAAAACAACATACTTAATATTCAAAATCTGGTTTTAAGTTACTTCCGTTGTTAATATTGTAATAAACATTAGATCTCCATTTAACATTACCATTTACCACTGCTCTTTTAACTTCCAACTATATAAAAATAATGGTTTTTTTTTTTAAGATTTTATTTATTTATTTGAGAGAGAGAATGAGAGAGAGAGAGAGAGAGAGAGCATGAGAGGGGGGAGGGTCAGAGGGAGAAGCAGACTCCCTGCTGAGCAGGGAGCCCGATGTGGGACTCGATCCTGGGACTCCAGGATCATGACCTGAGCCGAAGGCAGTCACTTAACCAACTGAGCCACCCAGGCGCCCCTAAAAATAATGGTCTTTTTTAACTAGGCATTCTTGTCATATGCACAAAGCCTATACACTCATCTTCTATATTTTGTCATAAAGTCTTCTATCAAACACTGACATCTTCTACCAAACACTGACTACTTAAAAATATAAGCTTCCATCATTATTATAGTAAGAATACAGTGGATTATACATTAACATACTTGTTCATTTCATCTGGAGTCAGCTTTCCAAACATTCCACTTAATCTCATATTAGCAACTTAAATGTAACCATTCATGTGATTTTAGTTCTATATAAAGAATGCCCTGGGAACCTTCATATGAGCAGAAGTCAACATCATATAATAAGTACAGCAGGAGTTTGCCCTTTCAACCATGGTTTACTGAGCTGTGAGAATAAGGCTGCTTTCTGTTTTTAGTAGCATTAAGCTGCTGCTGTTACCTGAGCATGCTGGCTTTGTGCAATCTCCTCTTTCCTGCGTTTCATGAGCTCTTTTCTCAGCTCTTTGGGTGCTTTCTCCACTTCATTTATAACCTACAGTGTATAAGCATGCAGGAGGTGGGGAAATAATCCTCTCTCCACAGCAAGCATTTATGTGAGCAGACACACCACAAGTCAAAGATTAAGGCTGTTAAAAAGTTCCTTTCAACATGCAAGAGCATAGGTGTTAGTTCGGTGAAAAAGAATGAAAGGACAGAACATGCTTAATCTCAGTGCAGGAAGGGACATCACACCATATAAAGGTTAATTAGATGCTTAACTATCCCTACACATTATTCTCTTAAAGATCCAAAACAATCAGTAAAGGATTACTAGCAGCACTGATGATGAACTAAAGATGATAAACTCAACTGCCCTTCTTGAAAGATCATAAAACTATAAACATATCTATTGACATTGTTTGAAATGTTGAAAACAAGGAAAGTTAATGCCATTTATAAAAGTGCAAAATTTCATAATTGGCTTGATAAGACCAAAGAAATCACTCTACATTCATTTAATGAGACCAAAAAAAAAAGAGAGAGAAATAAATGGACACTGTTTTCTTTTCTCATAAAACACACCATTTTATACATGGTGTGATAAAAATGAACACATTTGATGATTTTGTGTTGGATCAGAGTAACACTCTCCTTTGCTGACAATTTAAGCCAAACTTAATTGTCAATGTCAGTATTATAAGCACTCACAAAGTAACAGTTCGCTATGCTAGGATTTATTACACCAGATAAAGTATGTAAGATGAAGTATAATTTAAAGCTCCTTCTTTTAATCATTTCAAAATCCTAGATATGTATTCCACCTAAGCAGATCTATAGTCCAACTATGAAAAACAATCATGTGTTTACAAGTAGAAGCACCAAAAGCAATCAGATTCCAAATCACCACATGCTACTGATGGTCTGTGAAAGAGACTGATTTTGATTGAAGAGGGTGCATTTAAAATTTCCCATCAGTAATCCCTCATGAAACCAAATCACCATTAAAAGGAAGAGACTCCCCAAATGCAAGAAATTTAGCGATAAAGAAGAAAATACATTAATATAATTATTTAAAATATGCATATCACGACTCAAACATGTTCACCAGCTAAAAATCTCCGAGCCCAAAACAGTAAAAATAACTACAGACTTTTATATACTTAGGATTAAATCATATATTTACCTATAAATTTTTAAAAATTTAATCTCATATTAAAAAATAACCTCTCAGTAAAAAATATCCACAGTTTCAAGAGAACTGATGGAGCCTCAGTCAAGTCATACATCATGGTATACAGAGCATCCCTAAATAAAATATTAAACAGTAAGAAAACTAATTTTTAGAAATGGTAGCTACATCAAATAAAATTATATACCATTTCATTATTTACCTAAAGAATTTATAGAATGCATTGTATTTATTGTTAGATCCTATGCTTTTAAAGTAGATCCTCAAGTTCAGCAATATCATTTCAGTTTTATGCATAATTAAATGTTAAAGCCAACACGAACCTGGGTATTTTAGATGTACAACAAAAGTGAAAATGCATTTGCAGGTTTGGTTGAGATTTTTATGCCAATTCTAATAGAACTAATCATACTTATTGTCCCTGGGGTCTTTTATATCATGAAAAGGTAAATTCTTCCCCCACACCTTTAGTGTATTAGTATAAATCATAAAATCATATTTGCTAATACGTAAAACTTTTATTTTAATTTGGGGGAGAAAAACATTAATACAATATATAAATCCTCTTTCTGAATCAATGACAATCTTTCATAGTAAATAACAGCACAGATTCTATAACAAAATGGAACAGTTTCAGGAAAAATTTAAAAATTCATTGTAAAGAAACCACTTTACGCAGATATTTTCCACATGTGATTCTTTAAGTACCTCTCAATTTGATGGGTTTACAGACATAATTTCAAATTTCAGGGTACTCAGCTTTTGTTTTGGCACAATGTTCAAGAAAGGCAATCAAGCTAACCAAGAAAAAAAATTTTAAGTATGAATTAAATATTACAAATAATAAGATGAATTATTGTTGCCACCTGCAAACACAACATAGTAAGTTTTCTTGAAAGAAGCAATTTCTACAGAGGCCTTAACTATTGCATTAATAAAGGAAAAATGGTAGACTGGAAGGAAAATGAATTAGACTTAATTTGAAGACTTGGTTCAAGGTTTAGCTGGACATTTAATGGTAGTTTGTGAACTTGAACAGACCATTAAAAACCTCTTCTATTCCAGTCTTCTTGACAGTAAAATGGGATAACACCTGACCTTACTACTACCCTACATAACTGCTGGGAAGACCGAAATAAAGAATAAATGAGCACTATTTAACTCTCAAGTATTATTCCTAATTCTGTAGTTTTAAGTGTACATTAAAAAAAACAGCTTTCGTAATTAAAAGCAGTAGTTACACTTACCTCCTTCTTCCGGTTCTTTAACATATTCTGGAATTTGGACAACTCTTTCTCTTGTTCTCCTTTAATGCGTTTGGCTTCATCTCGTAAGCGATTTGTGTGTTCTTGTTCTAGACGTTCAATAGTCTGTTTCTGCTGTTTTTCTAGATTCTCAATTTCTTGATCATATTGTCGCTTTTTGCTCTGTCAAACAATGTTGCTCAATATCATTTAACTTTTCTTTCATATTAACTCATTATAATGATAATGTTTACTAAGAGTACATAACCAGCATTTAAATTTAGTGATGTGACACACAACATCTGCAATACTGAAAAAGTTGAATGCACTAAAATACATTAAGGAATTTTTTTAAAAGGTAAGCATTTTGGGGCGCCTGGGTAGCTCAGTCGGTTAAGCATCTGCCTTCAGCTCAGGTCATGATCCCACGGTCCTGGGATTAAGCCATGCATCAGGGTCCCTGCTCAGTGGGGAGTCTGCTTCTCCCTCTCCCTCTGCCCCTTCCCCCACTCATGCATTCTCTTTCTCTCTCTCAAATAAAATCTTTAAAAAATGAGCATTTCATTTTTTTCTAACACAGAAAATATTTCTATTATACAAGGAGTAGAATGTTCAAAATTTTTAAACCATCAAGACAATACCCAGTTGCTATGAAATACTAAAGTTAGAAAAATTTCAATATTTATCCAATAAATGTTTGATAAATCAAAGGTCTTATCCAAAGTCTATTTTAATAATGGACCATTATTTATCATATTCAGATTTACTCTTCCTCATTAAGATTCTTTTTTAAAGATTTTATTTATTTGCGAGAGAGAGAGAGAGACAGAGAGAGTGAGCAAGAGCACAAGCGGGGTAGGCAGACAGAGAGGGAGAAGCAGACTCCCCACTGAGCAGGGAGCCCAACACAGGGCTCAATCCCAAGACCCTGAGATCATGACCTGAACGGAAGGGAGATGCTTAACCAACGGAGCTACCCAGGTGCCCCACCTCCTCACATTAAGATTCTTAAACTTCCTATTTCACTGAGACAAATCTTTTGAAATTATAAATCTGCTTGCTTTCAACAAAAGATTCCTACCTATTTAATACCTGAGTATTATATAATTTTGGATATAGGTAAAGTTAAATATTTATAAAGGGTATTTTAAAAACATAAGTAAAGGGGCACCTGGGAGGCTCAGTTGTTTAATCATCCAACTCTTGATTTCGGCACAGGTCACAATCTCAGGGTTGTGAGATCAAGCCCCACATCGGGCTCTGTGCTAGGCATGGAGCCTGCTTAAGATTCTCTCTCCCTCTCCCCCTACCCCTCCCTTCAGCTCTAAAAACTAAAAATTAAAAAAAAAAAAGGCAAAACATTTCAGAAAATATTTTGGGGGAAAAGAGATGCAATTTTTATAAAGTTCTTGAAAATAGAATGTTGAGTACTATAAAAATAGTCAATGAGAACAAAAGTTCAGTATTTTCTTAAGAATTCTCAGTTATGGGGGTGCCTGGGTGGCTCAGTCATTAAGCATCTGCCTTTGGCTCAGGTCATGATCCCGGGGTCCTGGGATGGAGCCCCACATGGGGCTCCCTGCTCCGCGGGAAGCCTGCTTCTCCCTCTCCCACTCCCCCTGCTGGTGTTCCCTCTCTCGCTGTGTCTCTCTTCGTCAAATAAATAAATAAAATCTTCAAAAAAAAAAAAAAAAGGAATTCTCAGTTATGATCCAACAAATGTAATCAACAATGCCACACTTCACAGAAAACAATCCTTACTACTTACAATTATAAGAACCGCAGAACTATAGTCAAAACATGAATACTGTAACATCTACACTTGATCTTAGCCAAAAGGCCGAGAAGCGATTGAATACTGTAACATCTGAAATGATCTTTTTTCTAACCTTCACTAAGCTAGATGTTTCAATAAATTACTGAAATTTTATAACACATTACTTATTCCTTTTCCAACTTTGGACACAAGGTAAAAAGTGAAAGACTCCATGACAATTACCCTTGGCTAGTCGGCACCAATTTCTCTAGCAGCTGTGAATAAGGATGTGGAAGCTTAACTGTAGGAGCCAGAGAAGTAAGCATGTTTTGAACAAGCCCCAAGTAGTTCTAATATTCAGACAGGCCTGAAGACAACTATTCTAGACTGCCTTAAAATCCTGGATCCGAAATCTGAGAGGTCAAATTGTAACACTGAAAAATTATCCAGAAATAGGCACACCTAAGAACTTTATAGACCATCTACTGGCTTCATGATCCAGGTCTTCATGATAAATTTTAATCAAAGAAAACTGGAAGACACCCATCACACTGTAAGTCAGTGACAGAAAGACTGAGATAGAAGATCCTTTCATGCAAAAGGAAAAAAGACATATTAGAACACCAAAGAGATAAAGGCCAGAAATACTAACAAAGCCAGAGAAAATCTCGTAATCAAAGAACAAATTCTAAAGGTGGGTTTTTTTTAAAGCACTAAATTTCAGTATTAACAAAATGGTACAAAATCTAAGACTTTACCATCATTTCTTGCTCAAAGCGCCGGAAAATTTGTTCTCGCTGTTGTTGCAGCTTGCTATTGAGCTGCTGTTGAGCTCTCTGCTCTTCTTTTTGAAGGAATCTTAACTCCCGAAGCTCCTGACGTCTGATAAAATTTAACAGCAATAATAGGGGAAGACAGCAAAAATTACACCTCTGAAGTAATGCTTTTTAAGAAAAAAAAAACTTTAATAACAATATTTTCAAATGTTAAAGTAATAAAAATAATCCAAAATTTGCCAAGACTTTACTCTTGTTTCTCTATTCTTCATACTTGCAGAGACTGAAAGGAAGTCACAAAACCAGTTTTAATTATGTTCTCTACTCACCTAAGAAACCTCAACTCTTCAGTTTTGGAATCACTATCTGTAACTATCTTTGACGTTGTTACACTCACTTCTACACCATCAACAACAAATTTGCGTGTTTTCTTCAATGTCTTCTTTTGTCTTCTTGTTTCCTGAGTGAGATTTTATTTTAGTTAGGCTTTATATGGAAAATAATGGAGACGGAAAACATTTTCTTAACAAAACACAACACAGAACTGTGCGTGTATAATTTTTATGACACATCATAATTAGGCACAAGTAGTAAAAAACAATTCACATAAATGTCTGATTAGTATAACTTTTACATATTAATCATTTTTCTTCCTCTTCTGATCTTAAGTTCTCAGATACCTCTGCTTTTCAGTTTTAGAACCACTGACAAAACACTTAAAAATAAATGCCTGGGGCTCATCCCTTAAAGAATCTAAATTAACAGGGTGGCTGAGAATTTGCATTCTAGAAAGGCTCCCCAGGTAATTTTTACACACTGCCAGGAGTGGGAATCAAAATCCATTTCATCAGCAACAATAATATCAACAGCCCCCCTCCATTTCAGAAAAAGAGATGGACTTGTGATTTTAGAGTTATTAGAAAGATAACACTTCTACTGCCTGATAGCTATTGTCTACCATTCTCTATCAAGACCAAATTTCATTCCTCAGCTGGTATCCAAATGCTTTTTAAATCCAAATAGAAATAACAGAAATATAATATTCCAAAAAATACAGTTGGAATACCTAAGTATTGAGAACAAATAATTACTTGGTTTTGATCTGGGGGAAGGGTTTGAAAGCAGAGGGAGCAAAAGTGGAATATGAAAATACTAAATTCAAAATGCATTAGGATTTGTTTGTCTCTGGCACTTTCCAATCACCTTTCTGCAACCTCTCAGTGTTCGACTCTCCAGGCTGCCAGTATACTCATGCTTCTCTTCCTAAGCCTGGACTATGGCACCCTATCTAGCCAGGCTTCCCCTAAAATCTAAAGTGGGCATGCCACCCTGTAAATCCAAACTTTCTATTTCTTCAGTTCCTACTCAAGTATCTACAATTAATATCACCTTAATCCTCAAAAAAAGTATTTGGATTTTTTTAAAAGGCTATTAAGTCAGTTCAAATTAACGGAATTTAACTGAAGACAATCTAGGCAATATGTGTAATAATTTGGTACAGACAGGCAGACTCATCAGTCATGCCCTGGATTTTTTTTTTTTTTTTTTTAAAGATTTTATTTATTTGACAGAGACAGACACAGCAAGAGAGGGAACACAAGCAGAGGGAGTAGGAGAGGAAGAAGCAGGCTTCCCGCGGAGCAGGGAGCCCGATGCGGGGCTCGATCCCAGGACCCTGGGATCATGACCTGAGCCGAAGGCAGACGCTTAACCGACTGAGCCACCCAGGCGCCCCCATGCCCTGGAGTCTTGTGCCTAAGGTCAGTTTCCTAAGTTGTTCTTGCTTTGTACAGTCTTCTCTTCTGCTGTCAATCCAGAGTATCTAAGTAGTCTATGGCTCACCTGTATCAGAATTCCATGGGATCTTCTGTTACAAATATTGATTCTTGGGCCCTACCCCCAGACCTCCACATAGCTCTCCCTGAAACTCCTTTTTAAAATAATTTATTCGGGGGGCGCCTGGGTGGCTCAGTTGGTTAAGCGACTGCCTTCGGTGCAGGTCATGATCCCAGGGTCCTGGGATCAAGCCCTGCATCCGGCTCTCTGCTCGGCGGGAAGCCTGCTTCTCCCTCTCCCACTCCCCCTGCTTGTGTTCCCTCTCTCGCTGTGTCTCTCTTCGTCAAATAAATAAATAAAATCTTCAAAAAAAAAAAAAAAAAGGAATTCTCAGTTATGATCCAGGGTGGCTCAGTCGGTTAAGCGTCTGCCTTCGGCTCAGGTCATGATCCCATGGGATCGAGCCCCACACCGGGCTCCCTGCTCAGTGGGAAGCCTGCTTCTCCCTCTCCCACTCCTCCTGCTTGTGGTCCCTCTCTCACTGTCTCTCTCTGTCAAATAAATAAATAAAATCTTAAAAAATAAATAAATAAAATAATTTATTCATGCTGAATATACTTGACATATAATAAATAGTATACTAGTTTCAGGTGTACAACGTAAAGATTCAACATTTGCATGTGCTGGTAAATGATCACCTTTAGCACCATTAAGTCTAGTTAATATCCCTAATCATGTATACCCCTGGTAACTCTTAAGCACATTAAGATTTGAGAATGGCTCTAAAGGCCCCAAGTGTTCTCCGTTTTAGTTTTTGATTTTTTTTTGTTCTCCCACAGTGGTTCTCATGGCAGTATTAACTATGGCTGAGGAGGCAACAATGTATGGGCCACTGGTAAATCAAGGACCATTTATACTCTAAATGTGCTTAAAAAGAGATCATTCTTTCAATTCCTCAATTCTTTCATATATAATGGATTCTTCCTAAAATATATCTAAATATGTGCAGTAAGAGAACGCAAACAAACCAAGTAACTTCCACTGTTTACATCAAGTTGGCAAAAATAGATAGGTATTACCAAAAAATTAAAAGATTATATCCAGCACCTCTCTCCTTGATTCTTTATAGTTGACTGCCTTCATAGGCCTTAAGAATTTTATAGGGTTAGTACTACACTGATTTAGTGCTGTTTTATTTTCAAAATATGTTTCACATATACTGTAAATTGCCAAAACAACGAAAAACCCAAACAAGGACCCACATATACTTACTTGTAAAGATATTGATCCACTATCTTTAGTTTTGCTTAGGAAGCTAGAGATGGATAAATTCAAGTCAATGCTGCTATTATCAGCAGTGGAACTAGTGCCTGAATCAGTATCATTTTCCTTTTGATTCTCGGATTCTGGAAGCAGCATGGTTTCAATTTTTGATAAAACACCTATTTCCCCTTTATTTTCTGCATCTTCAGAGTTGATATTAATACTGGGTACTGGGACAGGCTGAGGTTCACTGGGCTGTGAAGAAGGAGTCACTTGAGGTTCTGTTTTAATTGGCACTTCACATGGAATTGCTTTTTGCTCTGTATCTATCTGAGCAGTGGCTTCTTGAGCATTCTGAGTTTCACTTCCTAAAGCCTCCTGGTCAGTATGAGTTACTACACGTCTGACCTCTCTTTCTTCAGTGCTACTGGACTCAGTAATTTCCTCACCTTCGTTTGTCCCAGATTCCTCATTGGTCTTCACTATGTTCTCCAAACTGTTGATTAATTGTTCCTCATCTTTACCTTCCACGGATTTCTGATCTATCTCATTAGTTTCTACTATGTCTTTAATAGGAACTTCCTCAGTACCACCAGCCTTAGGACCCTCTGTGGGCTTACTTACTAATTCCTGGTCTACTTCAACCACTTCTTTCCCATCATTACTCTGAGCATCCTCAGCATTGTTTTCAACTGCCTTCTGAGCAACATCTCCTGCCTCATTTGTTCCTATCAAATGGCCTGTATCACTGATCACATCTTCTAGAATTTTATCATCTTTTCCCAATTTCTCTTGGGTGACTTCCTTTGTAAGCGCAACTTCATTTTCAACTGGCTGAATGTCTGCCTCTTTTTCTCCAGTCTCTTGAGAAACTAAATCCATTGTTTGAATAGTGTCTTTAATTTCTTCAGATTTCATAATCTTATTTTCAAATATCTGTTTCTTTTCCTGATCCCTTTCTTCCGCAGGTTTCAGAATCTGTTCGTTATCTGTTTCTAAAGTTATCATTATGTTATTCTCTTTCCCTTCATTGACTGAATTAATGTCCACTGTTTCTTGGTCTTCTGTGTCAGGCAAATTTTCAAGCTTGGGTCTCTTCTCCTCTCTCCCATTTTCCTCAATTACTGTCGTTCTATTATGAAGTTCAGCCACAGCTTCTAACTGAACATCATTAATATGTTCATTAATACCCTCTGCAGCTTTTTCAGGTTCATCAGTGGTGAGTTTTTCATTAAGAACTTTGCCGTTAAATTTATCTTCAGAAGCATTACGTTCTGTTTTTTCTGAGACAGATTCCAAAATACAAGCATTTTGTGAAAGTTTATCTTCTTCAGAGCTGGCAATACTGAGGTCAGATGAGGCACGCTTACTTGCAGGTATTGGCTAAAAAAGATTTTATACAATTTTAGTGTTAAATCATAACTTCAAGATGGGGATCAAAACAATATATATTTTGTATCTAGATAAATAAATGATTTAAATAATATATAATGATTTAGTATCTTAATTAAAATTTGATGAGGTTATAAAAATAATTTAAAGAACTGACAAATCTTCAAATAAATATGACAAAAATGGATAGCAAAGGGGAAACTTATTAATCTTCACCCTTAAAATTAAAGATTTTATACTGCTATCTCCCAATTAATCTTTAGACACAGGTGCAATTCCACCTCAAAACCTGACTCTAAATATTACCTAAATAACATTTCCTTTCTAAATACTGACCAAAGAATTTTCTGTTTCTTCATCATCATCTTCCTCTTTGCCATCTTCAACTTCTTCTGTTACTTCAGCCTTTGCCTCTGCAATCAGCTCTCGAATTGGTTTGTTGGAATCAACGGTAACAAAGGGATGCTATTTGATCATTAAGAAGAGCATACTTAATAACAGCTGAAACGCTTGCTTATAAAATTTCAAACACATAATACACATGTCATTATGTGGTAAAAATATAAACACGTGGGTAACAAAAATATAAACAACTTCAAATAATGTTACATCTGGGCAAGGAAGGAGGAGAAGGGGACTGAGCAGGAATAGGGCTGCCTGCAACTATGTACTTTTTAAGAATCTGAAGGAAATATGTCAAAAAGGGTAACACATTTCTGGGTAGTAGGTACATGTACTTTTCTGTATGTTTGAAATTTCATAATCTAAATTAAATTTTAAAGCAAGTTTCAAATTAATACAGTTTTAGTTCTTAAAAAGTAACAACAATATATATAAATCCTGGATAAAGCCTCAATAAAAGAATTATAAAAAGCTTTAGAGTTCTGTTAAAAGTGTCTGCATATAAGGGCACCCGCGTGGCTCAGTTGTTAAGTGTCTGCCTTCGGCTCAGGTCATGATCCCAGGGTCCTGAGATCGAGTCCTGCAACGGGCTCTGTGCTGAGCGGGGGGCCTGCTTCTCCCTCTCCCTCTCCCCCCTGCTCATGCTCTCTCTCAAATAAATAAAATCTTTTAAAAAGTGTCTGCAAATACCTGCTTTTTTGACAAGGTTCTAATATTCTTAAGAGTAAGAAACCATTTTATTCATTTTTGTACACTCAGCAGCACTTAATAGTGCCTGTCACAGACTAAGATCTTCTAAAGGGGGGGTAATAAATAATAAGAGAAAGTGTGTTCTAGGGATGTACCTCTTGCAAAGAGCAAGGCAACTTCTTCTGCTTTTTTCTCCTGAGATAAACAGATCAACCTAAAATACTAGAATGCAGGAGTTACAAAGTAACTCAATCTAATAGGTAACTGCCTCAAGATTTGTCATTCTGTTTGTCTACCTGTAATATTATATAACAAATTTCTCTTTCAGATATTACAAATAGGTCCTGCTATAAAACAAAATTATCCAATCACTTTAACACCACTTTTCAAAAAAACAAGTCAGCAGTATTTACTGAATATTTATCCTCACTGTAAGAGATATAAAAAAAAATTAATTAGCTCATGACCCCTGCCCCCAAGGGGCTTGCTATCTAGTAATTGGAGAGACAAACTGGAAATAACTAAGTGGAAATAACTAACAGAATAAAAAGAATACAATTAAATGGAATCAAAAAAGCACAAAAGGAATGACTTATAAGCTAAATGCCTTTTGGTAATGGCAGCACGTATGTTTATAAAGCAAATGTTTACTACTACAATGTATTCTGAGTTTCCACAGGGAAACTCAAGTGAAAAGAGAATACACTGAATGAATCTGAAAGTGTATTCTTCTTAAAGAGATGTTAATTACATGGTCACGGTCATCATATCACTCTTCTCTTACCTGCAGTAGCTGAGATGTAGTCCACCTGGAATCCACATTCTTTTCCAAGCATTTCTTTAGAAAGTCCTTAAAATTTGAAGACCTTCAAAATAAAATTTTAACAATGGTATTTCTATTTTATTTTCTGTTATTAAAAATCAAACAAAACTGATAAGTTATGGTTGTTCTATTATGTATGTTAATACTATTCAACATAAGAAAACTAGTTAATGAGACTAAGATTTCATAATAATAAGATGAATATTAAGATATCATCCATAAACACAAAATTAAATATATATGTATGTAGAGTCATAGTTTTAGACATTGAGAGACATAGTCATATATTCACAAGTATGAGAAAAATCACAGAAACTCTATTAAATTCCACAAATATACATCAACCACATATATACCTCACTTTCTTACAGTACAGAAAATACTGTATTATATACAGTTGTTTCATGTAGACCTCAAATCACTGATACTTTCAAATTTATGGGAAAAGTTAGTTATAAGAGTTTGTATGGTCCTTACGTCTTAAAAAAAATTTCCAAAAATCAGTTTTCTACTCATACAGTCTTTGTACCAGTAACTAAATTTAAATACCCTTGAAAAGCTGGGAGAATAAAACATCAAGTTTTGCTTCGTAAAAGGCTTCATTTAGAATATTTTACCATTTTGATGGTTGTGCTAATGTAGGGGGCTCTGATTTTGCTATTTTTAGCAGCACTCGCATTGGATTTAATTCATGATGAGGTGGTTCTATCTCAGCCATTTCTATTAAAGTGATACCCAGGGACCAAACATCAGCTTTGTAGTCATAGGGTCTGTCCTTAGATGTTTCACACATGACTACTTCAGGAGCCATCCTATGAAGATAGAGAATTAAAAGTTAAGATGTTTAACTTAAGAATAACGATTGCAAGCCACATAAAAGAGAGACAGTATAATCAATTATGTGGACAAAATTAATGCGTAATAGATGATAAGAGCTTCTGACATAATACTATAAATCCATAAAGCTGAATACATACCAATATGGTGTGCCAATAAAGGAATCTCTTCTTTGGATTGTCCTTGTGTTTTTAGCTGATACTCCGAAATCCGCTTGAAATAAGCAATCATAGAAAATATTAATAGTTTTTTAGCAAAGTTCACTGTATTTAACATAGGGAAAGCATTTCAAATCTTTAACAAGGCCATTCTTATTAAAGGGTAAACAAAACAGAAAGAGTAATTTCTCTACCATCCTAATTTTGAACACACTCTTTCTACCACAACCCCCCTCCAAAAAAACTGCCAAAGAAAATATACTATCATTAATACACTTAATACTACCATCTTTATACATCTTCAGATCATGAATTCTTCAGAATTGATAAAAAAAGTAGTAACTTTAAAACAGACCAGTCTACCCACTTCAAAACAAATGCCAACTAGTGGTACATGCTATAATTAAATTGACAGACATAAACATTTTTTTCTCTAGTGTGAAAAGCAGAAATTACAAAGTAGCCTTGACAGCATATGTCTTGCTAATTTCTTCATAAAATTATATTACAAAGAAAAAAACCATATTTTGATTTAAATTATAGAGAACAACAACATTATAGCTTTATCAGTTGTCAACCCCACCTTTTCAGCTTAGAGCTTAGAGAACAATTAATAGCAACACAAATTTGCTCTTGCTGCATAATTACCTCATACCATTTATACATAACTTTTAGGTTTCATGTTTGACATGCCGTAATTCTCAAAATGAATAAATATCAAAAATCCAATATTTGGTGCTCAAACCGCAAGAAGTGGCACAGAATATATACTCAATAAATGGTAGCTACTATTAGTAGCCATATCTATAATTTTAACCTTTGTGCTCTTTTGTTGGTAGAACTCTTAAAGCTCATAAAATCCTGACTGTATTCTAATTATTTGTGTCTATTATATGGTGTGCGTTTTTTTTTTTGGACCACATAATGCTCCCACTTAAAAGATAGTGGTAGCTACCTATTGCCTGTGGAATGAATTTTAAGCTTCCTAATGTGGTGTACAAAGTCCTTTATTACATTAGTTATTTCATTAGTGTTTTATAATGAAATTCATAAATGAGTAAGCAAATAAAACATATTAAACTTGGAAGATATATTTGTGGAAGATACAATGTAAATAGATTTATTCAGGACTCTTCACCACTATCCCTCCCCCCCACCGACCCCCAACCTCCTCAACTTACAACTTCTCTTATGTTTTTGGGAGGAAGGACTTGAGACAATTTAAATTCCTGCCAGAAGAGGTTCTGTACTCAGGTAAATTCAGCTCGGTACTTATTCTAGTGTTTTTCTAGAGCCTATTAATGCTCTTTTCAACTCTCTCCCCTCAGAATGTGACTGGGGAAGGAGGTCCAGAAATAGGCCTAAACAACAACTGTCCCTTGTCAACATTCTTATCTCTCTAAGCACCTGAGGTAAACTAATGATGGACAAAAAGGCACCTTAATTGCTGTGCAAAGGGGAAAATTAAAGTTGCTATGTGCTTTGTAGTTCTACATATAATGATGCAGCATGTATATGTTGGTCTGTTTAAATAGCATTTTACACATTTATTTCCATTTGCAACAATATGACCTGACAAAATCATCATAAAAATGTTGTTACTGTAGTGTATTAAATAGTTTTTTTTTAATTTTTTTTTAATTTTTTTTTTTAAGATTTTATTTATTTGAGAGAGAATGAGATAGAGAGAGAGCATGAGAGGGGAGAGGGTCAGAGGGAGAAGCAGACTCCCTGCTGAGCAGGGAGCCCGATGTGGGACTCGATCCCAGGACTCCAGGATCATGACCTGAGCCGAAGGCAGTCGCTTAACCAACTGAGCCACCCAGGCACCCGTATTAAATAGTTCTTGAGGATAGTATGGTTCTTTACATCTGTGTACATGTAACAGGGTATCACAGAAATAGAAGATTCTGTAAGTATTTACAAATTAATAAAACAAAAATTGCAACTGTTTCAAATGTCAACCAAGTCAAGACTATTTTGGCATTCCTAAATCGTCAATAATCTACTTACTTTTAAAGGCATGCACTATTTTACACAAAAGTATGTTCCTATATTGAAGATTCTAAATACATTTATAGAAAAATGTGCACCAGAATGGATCAAAATGATAATGTACTATTTTTAAATGAGCTACCAGAGTTTAAAAAATGATATAAAACATAAAAGAGTAACATACATAATTAAAAAACCTCAATTATGAGGTAACAGAACTCAAGAAAAATTAGAAAAAATAATTTTAGAAACAAAGATTAAACTAGGAGAAATGCAAGAGCAAATAAACAACAAATTCACACCCATTACCACTTTACATTCATTAGGATGGCTATCATCAAAAATACAGAAAATGACAAGTGTTGACAAGGATGTGGAGAAATTGGAACCCTTGTGCACTGCTGATGGGAATGTAAAATGGTACAACTACTATGGAAAATGGTAGTTCCTCAAAAAATTAAATACAGAATTACCACATGATACAGCAATTCCATTTCTAGAATACCCCAAAGAATTGAAAGCAGGGAGTCAAACAGGTATTTGTATACCCACGTTCATAGCAGCATTATTCACAAGATCCAAAAGGTAGAAGGTAAAGTGTCCATCAATGGATGAATGGATAAACAAAATGTGGTACATGTAAGAAACAGAACACTGTTCAGCCTTTAAAAGGAAACTGACATGCTACAACATGGTTGAACCTTGAAGACATTATGCTAAGTAAAATAAGCCAATCATAAAAAGACAAATATTGTATGATTCCACTTACATGAGGTACCTAGAGTAGTCAAATTCATAGAGACAGAAAGTAGAATGGTAGTTGCCAGGAGCTGGGGGGAGGGAGGAATTGGGAGTTAGTGTTTAATGGGTACAGAGTGTCAATTGGGAAAGATGAAAAAAGTTCTAGAGATGGATAGTGGTGATGGTTGCATAATGATGGGAATATACTTAATGCTACAGAACTGTACACTTAAAAATAGTTGAAACAGTAAACTTTATATTTCACCACAATTTTTTTTAAATGAAGAAAGATAAAAGAATCTGGGAGAAAGTTTTTAAATATTGATGACTGGAAAAGCCAACAAACAAATAAAAAAAGTCCCTAAAAATGATAGTCAGTGCAAGGGAACAGAACAAATACTCAAACCTGTAATTCCAGAAAACTTTCCTGGAAAAAAAAAAGGCTTCTATATTATAAGAACATATTAGAGAAAAGTCTAGTCAAATTACTGGTCCTTGAAGAAAAAAAATTCTTTGGCATCTAGGCAAATGAGCACATGACTTGAAAGAGAAAGAAAATCAGATTATCATCAGACTTTTCAACCACAACACTTTATAACAGAAGAAAACAGAGTAACGTATTTCAGATACTCAAGGAAAGAAATGTAAGCCAAAGATTTTCTATCCAGCAATACTGACCTTCAAAGTATAAATATGGGTAGTACTGTTGTCATTAGATAAGAACTCAGAGAGCCCCTCCAGAGTTATCTACCAGAGAATAAACTTCAGACAACCAACATGACCAGAGATAGCAACATAAGGACTAGTGGTGAGCATTAAATATAGAAAAGGGAACTAAAATAAGTAATTATGGGATGTTCTAAACCTATCATCAATGTCCTTGAGAACCAGGACTCTCAGGATAGAAGGAGATACACATGTAATACCGAAGAGGTTAGGTTAAAAACAAAAACAAACATCCTGAATTTGATTAGGAAATACATAGGCACTCATGAGAGCCTAGCTCTGTCCTCTGGAAAGGCCTAGAATGATGGCCAATCTAGAAACTGCTAATCACTTCTAAATTCAGATGTAGTCTTGAAATACCATATCCTACTAAAAGAAACTAGGGCTTCTTAAAGAAATGGCTAAATTACAGGTTGGAGGCAGGAAATACATAAGATAAGCCTGAAACACCTCAACCTAATATATAGTAACAAAGAAGCTATCAAAGGTTACTAAAGTCATGTCAAAAAGATTAACATACCAACTTGAAGAGGCTCCCATTGATCAAAGATGGTATAATGTGAGCTTTAATAAGGATAAAAATTATAGATTTCAAATCTATAAAATTAAATTCATGAATTAATAATATTTTTAAAAATACCAGTTACCAATTAAGGATGAGAGAGAACCAATTCATGGTCTTTAAAGCTTTTACATAAATAAAAAGAAGGAATCAAGCATTTTTCCTCTCTTGTCCATATGAACTATACTCCTGAGTAACCAAATAGTTGAAGGGAGGTGTCATCTTATATAATTATCCCTAATTTTACAATGATAAATAAAAATAATGAAATAATTGGCAAATAATTATATCAAAATTATAATCAAAAAAATAAATGAAAACAAAGTGATAGAATTCATTTTGCAACTCAAACCAAAGAACAGATCTAGGCATTAAGCATCAACAGCTGCAATCAAAAAAAAAAAAAGCAAAAGGCAGACATGTGCCTCCCCAGTGAAAGGACACAAAACCACCTAAATACAGTCTGGCCAAAGAATCAAATTTGAGACTGATGAGGCCTTTGCATTTATCTGCAAACCTGAAGGAAATATAGAGAGAAACTTACTAAAAATGATCATAAGTATGTAATTAGCAAAATGCAGGTTGAGGGAAACTCTACAGGTGCAACTCCCAGGTCTCATAGTTCAGTGCTTCTCAACCTTTTTTTCATCATCATTCTCCTATGGAGCCTTTTTAGACACTTTTTCCTAATCCTCCCGTCCCCCATGAAATTTTAACACCACAGATACACTATCTGTGTACCGTGGGCCGTTGGAGGATTATTAAACACTGTAATACCTAAGATCTTTTTTGCCCCCTAAGAACCAATTTTGGCCCCCATGAAAATGCATACCATAAATAAAATGTAAAGAAAAGAAAGAGATGGGGGGGACCTATAAATTAAGAGACTTAGAAGAAAAATCAGGTTTTAAATATGGGAAAGTCTAAACTCTAAAGTCAAGAGACGAACACTGGATGATAGAGCCATAAAGAAACACAAGGAAAAAAAAAAAACTCAAAGAAGTGATCACTATAAAGGTCAGGATAAAGGTTACCTGTGGAGAAGAGAGGGACAGTGATTAAGATGGGACACATGGAAGAGCCGCTAGTTCTATTTCTTGACCTAGGTGGTAGTTACAAAGCTATCATCTACAAAGTTACGAAATCACTAAGCTACACAATTACTTGTCTGGTTTTCTATATCTATATTATTTCACAACAAAAAGGTTAAAATTTAGTATATCAAATTATACCTGTTTATTTTTTTAAAGGTTTTATTTATTTATTTGTCAGAGAGAGAGAGCACAAGCAGGGGGAGTGGCAGGCAGAGAGAGAAGCAGGCTCCCTGCTGAGCAAGGAGCCCAGTGAGGGACTCTATCCCAGGACCCTGGGATCATGACCTAAGCTGAAGGCAGACACTTAACTGACTGAGCCACCCAGGCATCCCAATTATACCTATTTAGATGTCATGAAAAAAGTGAAATGATTATGATCAATGGTATCACAAGATGGCCTGTGAATATATTTTATCTTTTCATCCTTCCAAATTACACAAATTTATTTTTTTTAAAGATTTTATTTATTTATTTGTCAGAGAGAGAGCACAAGCAGGGGAAGCGGAAGGCAGAGGGAGAAGCAGGCTCCCCGATGAGCAAGGAGCCCGATGTGGGACTCAATCTCAGGACCCGGAGATCATGACCTGAGCTGAAGGCAGACGCTTAACCGACTGAGCCACCCAGGCGTCCCAACAAATTTAGACTTCATCACGAGATTTTTTTAAAAAATTCTTTTCTTGGATACACTTAAAGAGGACTGTATCTTCCATTTGTATGTGTACATTGGAAATTAATCAGTTTTCCATCTAAAATCTATATCTATTTACTCCTTATGAAGTTATCATTTATTTCCTCAGTGTAAAAAACAAAATTAAAAATTCTAGTCCTTTATACTTACTTTAGACATTCTTTTCAGGCTTACTTTGTTAGTTTAGCCAGGATACCATATTTATAAAATGGAGTATAAAACTAAACATGGGAAAAGAAAAGCACTAGACATGAGTTTTGGAAATAAAGATAAAACTAAGTTAGCTCTTTTATGTATTATCTCATTCTAAATGTATTATAAGTATTAAGTCTACAAACAAAAATTTAGGAGTAAAAAGAATTAACTGATTTTTCTAAAGCTTGTCTTTTTGAAAATGAAATCCATCCTTTCTTACCTTCTTTTTAAAGTGTCTTTATATTAGTTGCCTATACGTAGGAATTCTGGGAGTTAATGAATTATTTATCCAAGGCAGTATTTAAAAAATTAACATGGAGTAATTTCTCCATGCTTTACACATCTGAGTCATAACAAAACAATAGTAAGTCACGTACATACAGGGGAAAATCTCAGCACAAATTCAAATGTTTTATTTAAGGGAAGAAACTTACCCAACTTAATATCTCCATCTAAGGTAAAAAGAATGTTGCCAGCCTTTAGATCTCTGTGGATTATTTTATTATCATGCAAGTAGTTCAAGGCCTCTAGAGTCTGTTTACAAACTACTTGTATTTGGGACTCAGTTAATGGTCTCTCGAGTTCTATAAGGAAAAGAGTAAACAAATCTGCATTGTTATACAGTGAAAACACATCAGCAAGATGTATACCTTTACCATCAATGTCAAAGATCATATTTAGTAAATTATTTTAGAAGAACTAAATATTCGACAAAGATTACTTTCTTCACATATTATATTCAACATTTCATTTCAGGATTTTGTTACAATTATCTAAGAATATAAAATGTAATTAGGCTGATTTCTTAATTTATTGAGCTTCACCCAAGATATCTATTCAAGATATATATATATAGGGTTAAATGTCTGAAATCCTTTAAGTATAATTTAAGATACAAACATAAAGAACAAAAACATGTTTACCAAGCATCACGGCATCCACTGCTCCACCTGCACAAAATTCAATGAGGATCTGCAAGCAAACAAAAAAAGCATGTGTCTAACATGACACTGAGTTTGAGTATTTTTTCTTCAATTTAGCAAAAAAGCTAAAGGAATAACTAGGCTATGGAAACAATATTATGCTGATATCCTTACGCCATAAAGATTTTCTGTCAAAAGAGTTAAGAGTCTTAATGATACAAATTTTGAGAAAGCACAAAGAGAACACATTGTAGACATATGTGCATTTTTTAATCACCATTTTTAGTGTCCCTGCTTCTCTAAAATTACTAGGTATACAATTTTTATTGAGGACAGTATCATATAACCATTTCATCACCACCGATTTTATTACTCATTTTTTTTTTAAAGATTTTATTTATTTATTTGACAGAGAGACACAGCGAGAGAGGAAACACAAGCAGGGGGAGTGGGAGAGGAAAAAGCAGGCTTCTCGTAGAGCAGAGAGCCCGATGTGGGGCTCGATCCCAGGACCCTGGGATCATGACCTGAGCCGAAGGCAGACGCTTAAACGACTGAGCCACCCAGGCGCCCCTTATTACTCATTTTTAATGTAACTACTATGATTTAAGTGACCAAATCTATTTTTTAACTTTACTAATAGGAATAAATCCTCAAAATACTTAGACTTCTTTTAGTTAAAACACACACACATACACACACACACAAAAGCTTCAGATCCTAGCTCAATTATCACATTCTGATGGATGCCTTCCCAGATCTCCCTGGGACAAACCACCATGTACTTTTCCATCTTACCCCATCACAGCTGTAATTTTATATATATAATTCCTTGAAGTATTAATTATAGATAATTAATTCTACATCTCTCACTAGCCTGTCCCTCACAGATTTCCAACTTTTTATTTTGCAACAATTTCAAGTAAAGATCTTACCTGTTTACTGTCCAGGAGTTCACTTTCATTATAATCTCTGAGGACACTCTACTAGAGCCCTGAACAACTATATTAGAGGACACCACACAAAAATAATTATTAAAAATTACTTATCTTGTCAAATTATATAGCTTGCTGCTTTTTCCCCTTTATATATACTCTATTTTTTTATAGGTGCTTGCCAATTACAAATTCTTTTCAAATTCGTTATATCATTTGAAAAATAATTTGGAAGGTAGATCACTCATCTTATAGATGAGTAAACAGACTCAGAGGTTAACTGACTTATGCTCCTACCTAGCAGCACCAGGATCAAAAAATATAGGGCTTTCAATTTCCAAAGTATTACTTGCACTACACTACCTACTCTAACACTTCCATCATAACACTTTTCTTCAAGGAGAAAAACAAAAACTCCCATTTCAGGAAGGCGTCTTGGTTAAATTAGTGTCAGCAGAGAGCAAATGACTGACCAGTTATTATAATAAATATGATTTTATCTCTATATGTATTTGTGCCTAATATTTTCTACAAATGAACAAAATTTATACATGCAGCCTTAGCCACCGTATCATGCACCAAAGGTGAGTCTGATAATATAGAAGATAAATATTTAATTTCTAGTAAGTATTCTATAATTTATTACATGATTTACAAAGAGTTTAGGGTAAGAAACTATAAACAATTTCTAAGAAAACAAAAGAAATTTCCAAAAAAATTTTTAAGTAAATACCTAAATTTAAATTACAAACAAGACCATTTAATTTCATAATTTAGGAAATTTAATATTCTTAACCAAGTTCTTCCATCTGGGTCCAGTGTCAATCACGAAATATTGTACAACTGGAAATACACATCTGAACATCTGTTGAAGCTAAGGATAATTATGTTGTCAATGACCCTCTCATCAGATAAATTCAAGTAACAAGTAATTAAACAGAAGTAGTAACAGGTTTTCACAACTTAATAAACCTCTTTCAGACAATTAACTCATTTTGGCTCTTACAGATCAACAGAAAATAGTTACCCAAAGATTGTTCTCATAATAGAAGGCATCCAGAAGTTTGACTATATTTGGGTGATCACAAGACGCTAATATATCAATCTCAACCATGTAATCTTCAAGTTCTTCTTCAGATTTCGTGTCAATCACCTTTGCAGCAGCTAAAACATTGGTCTCTTTATTCTGGGCCTAAAAATGAAAGCATCACAAGTGTCACATAATGTATACTTGATTTTTAAAATTTTATTTTCCATTTTTTTAAATAAACTTATTTTTTTAGAGTAGTTTCAGGTTCACAACAGAGCTGAGCAGAAAGTACAGTGTTCTCATATGGTCCCAGCTCCTGCACATGCACAGCCTCTCCCACTATCAACATTCTGTACCTTAGTAGTATGCTTGCTACAGCTGATGAACCTATAACGACACATCATCCCCAAAGACCACGGTTTTCATTAGGATCTACTCTTGGGAGTTTACTCTATGGGTTTTGACAAATGTATGACATTTATCTACCATTATATCATACAGAATAGTTTCACTGCCCTAAATATTCTCTATGCTCAGCCTATTCATCTCTCCCTTTTTCCTAAGCCCTAGCAACCACTGATCTTGTTACTGCATCCATAATTTAGCTTTTCCAGAATTCATATAATTAGAATCACACAGTATGTAGCCTTTCGAGATTGGCTTCTTGCACTTAGTAACATGCATTTAAGCTTCCTCCATGTCTTAACATGGTTTGATAGTTCATTTCTTTTTGGGACTGAAGTGTCCATCACATATAGATGTGCCACAGTTTATCCATTCATCTACTGAAGGCATCTTGGTTATTTCCAAGTTTTAGAAATTCTGAATAAAGCTGCTATAAACATCCATGGGTGCGTTTTTGTATAGATTGAAGTTTTCAACTTCTCTGGGTAAATACCAAGGAACACAATTACTAGATCATATGGTAAAAGTATGTTTAGTTTTGTAAGAAACTGCCAAACTGTCTTCCAAACTGCTATGTCATTTTGTATTCCCACCAGCAATGAATTAGAGTTCCCGTTGTTCCACATCCCCACATGCATTTCATATTGTCAGTATGAATTTTTTTGTCATTCTAATAGGTGTATAGTGGTATCTCCTTTTTTAATTTGCAATTTTCTAATAACATATGATGTCAAGCATCTTTTCATGTGCTTACTGGACACCTATATATCTTCTTTGGTTTCTATCCAGGTATTTAGCTCATTTTTTCATGAAATTGTTGATTTTCTAATTGCTGTGTTTCAAGAATTCTTCATATATTTTGAGTAACTGTCCTTTATCAGATATGTTTTGGCAAATATTTTCTCCCAATCAGTGGCTTCTCTTCTCATTCCCTTGACATACTTATTCTTAAAAGATAGCCTAAACATATATATATTAACTAATAAATGCTATGCACTGTGGTAAGTGCTTTACATGCATATAGAATAGTGTTTCAAATTGCAGGCTCTACCGGGTCAGACTATTAAGGTTCAAACTCTAGTTCTACCACTTAATAACTGTGTTGCCTGGGGAAACTTACAAAATCTTTTTGTTTCCTCATAATAAAACATATTAACATCTCACAAGTTTGTGAGAATTAAGATATTAGCCAAGTGAAAAAAATACATATATTTAATAAAATGCTTGCCATAGACAGTAAGGATTCAGTGATGTTAAGTATAATTATTATTATTATTTAATCCTCACAACGAGTGATATATTATTATCCTTAAAAGAGGATATACAAACTTGGAGAGGTTAAAAAGCTTCCCCAAGGTCATGTAGTAAGAGACAGAATCAGGATTCAAATCCAGGTTTGTTTCCAAAGCCCTTTTTTTATCTGAATCATTACCCTTTCCAGTTTTCCTATACTTCCATCAATTGTTTTTCTTTGCACTTAGCACTTTAACTTTTCCATTTTCTTTCCTTGGTGAATAACTTCTCATTTCCATTTATTATAAATGAAAGCCTTCCAAATACACTGTAGGAGCCAAGACCATTTGTTAAAAAGTTAAGAATCAGATCTTAAAATACTAATTAGGTTTTTAAAAGACATTTCAATATTTTATGTTATCATTTCAGCAAAACTGCATCTAATACCTTAAAAAAAGAAAAAATACCAAACTCTTAAAACCTAGTAAAAGTTTCAATAAATAAATTAATGTCCAAATCCCACTTTTAAGAATTTATCATAAGAAGAGGCACCTAGGTGGTGCAGTCAGTTAAGCCTCTGATTCTTGGTTTCAGTTCAGGTCATGATCTCAGGGTTGTGAGATTTAAGCCCTGCATCAGCTCCGTGCACAGTAAGGAGTCTACTTGAGATTCTCCCTCTCCCTTTGCCCCTCCCCCTGCTTGTGCTCACTCTCTCTCTCTCTCTAAAACAAATAAATAAAATCTTTTAAAAAAAGAATGTATCATAAGGAGATAATTATACAAAATTAAAAATATGCATACATAAAATTATTCATCAAAGCATTATTTATAATAAGGAAAACTGAATGAACCTAAATATCCATTAGCAGGAACCTGCTTAAATAATTCAGCACATTTCTACAATGGAAAATGATGCAGCCATTAAAATCAATTAATATTTAAGATGGAACAGTAACTGTAACACAACAGTGAATGAAATAAAAGGCAACTTACTAAACACAAGAGGTATGTAATTTTACAAAAACCACACATCTACTTTCACACATGAAAAGCTGCATGAGAAGCATCTGGAAAGACATCATCAGCCCTGAGAGTAGTGGAATTTCAGGTACTTTTGACTTTTTCTGTATTTTTCGTATTGTTTGAATTTTTTAAATGAACTTATTTTTATAGAAGCAGTAAAGTACTAAAAAATATCAGCGTATGGGAGATTTCTTAGGGATCTATTCTCTAACCTTGAAAATGATGATGAAAAGAATAAACAAAGCAGGTATCAGCCTGTATACAGAATTTTCCTAAGTAGACTATTGTTATGTTTTACTTCCTTAAGAAAAAACGAAAGTAAAAAGTAATACTAATTACTAATTAAGTAATTAAATAACTCTCACATTTGTGGTTCAGAAAATACGTTTGGATAAAAAGATAACTTTATACTCGTCATTGCTACCACTCCAGAAGAATATTCTGATCTACCACATTTTGTCAACTCTAGGATGCACTACTACTGGGGCACCTGGGTGGCTCAGTTGGTTAAAAGTCTGCCTCTGGCTTTGGTCATGATCCCAGGGTCCTGGGATGGAGACCCACGGCAGGTATCTGCTCAGTGGGGAGCCTGTTTCTCCCTCTCCCTCTACCTGCCGCTCCCCCTGCTTGTGCGCTTTCTCTCTCTGTGTCAAATAAATAAATAGAATCTTTTTTAAAAAAATGCATCATTTTATGTTCCACTCAGGAAGGAAAAATGCCAATTAAACTACAAGATTTTATCATTTTGAATTCTTATGTTATACCTTTTTATTTATTTTTTTAAAGATTTTATTTATTTGAAAGAGAGAGAGAGAATGAGCGAGAGCACAAGCTGGGGGGGAGGGGAAGAAGGAGAGGGAGAAGCAGATTCCGCGCTGAGCAGGGAGCCTGACACAGGGCTCCATCCCAGGACCCCAGGATCATGACCTGGGCCAAAGGCAGACACTTAACAGACTGAACCACTCAGGTGCCCCATGTTATACCTTTTTAAAGAGCTCATCTGGACACATTTAGACACATTTAGACAAGGATTGTTTAGACAAGGATTGTTGGCCACATTTAGACAAGGTTTGTTACTGTATATCTATTCTCCTTGTACACAAATAAGAGGTTAAATACTTAAAAGTTTGACTCTTCTGAATCACTTTTTCACTCAGAGTTACCTAATGTCTGTGTTTTTCCACAGGATATCATTCTCTGGCCATTAAAAGCTTTGGTAAAAGACTGCTTCTCTACTACTGTCACCAAGATTTCTTTGAAACGTATTTTCTTGATCTTAACCAAAGTGCTAAAAGATTTATAGGTAACAACCAGGTCTCACATTCTTTCTTCAAAAAGTACTTAAATAGTTTATTGATTGAAACATCAAGGGGCTGCAACTATATGACACTAAGGATACAACTAAGTTCACAATGCACAGGCAATGACAGATATATCACAACTGCCACTCGGCCAACAATACTAAAACATCTATGGATAAAAGACATATCCCAATTTCAGAGATGTTAAAAAGTAAAAACTGTCATAACTAGTGAAACATGGTATCAAGTCTGTCTCTCAAAGAAAGAGACTACAGTTGAGCCAACAATAATTAGAACTCACCCTCCCCTGAGTCAGAGGAAATAAGCCAGTGAAAGATAAGCTATTCTCTCACCATTTTAATGTAACACTTTGGGAGGAAAAAGACCAGAGGAACAGTCCTTGAAGAGGAACACTATAAAATATGAGCCTTGGTAAGAGACCGAGTGGGGTTAAAAGTCATCCTGCTTCTGCATGCTTCTACTGATGTCCTCGGAGATTTTTAAGATATGTCATGTAAATGGATGACATAAAGGGGAAAAAATAATTGAACTAGATAATCTCTAAAGTACTTTATAGTGACAAACTCCATTATTCCAGTCCTCTGGATATAATGATTAAACCAACAATGGTACCATTTGGTTACTCTAAGTAATAAATAAAAGTTACATTAGAAAATATAATGCCGGGGCACCTGGATGGCTCAGTCATTAAGCATCTGCCTTCGGCTCAGGTCATGATATAAGGGTCCTGGGATTGAGCCCCACATGGGGCTCTCTGCATAATGCCAGGGCACCTGGATGGCTCAGTCGTTAAGCATGTGCCTTTGGCTCAGGTCATAATATAAGGGTCCTGGGATTGAGCCTCACATGGGGCTTTCTGCTCAGTGGGAAGCCAGCTTCTCCCTCTCCCACTCCCCCTGCTTGTGTTCCCTCTCTCCCTGTGTGTCTCTCTGTGTCAAATAAATAAATAATATCTTAAAATATATATATATAGTGCCTTTTATATTATTGCTTGAAAATGACTTGATTACTCTTCAGGATCTGGTTCTAGAGAACTCTGAAAATCAAAACTGAAATAAATATTGGCAAATGTGTGAAAATATCCTTTGAGCAAATATAAAATGTTAAAAAAGAAATAGCTTCATCTATCTACTACCTAAAAGCATGAAAATTCTTCACATAAAGATTTAATGAAATAAC